CAGCGCCTTTATTCTCACAAAGAACCAGTTTTAAGTCAAGTTTCAAAGGTTTGATTTACATCTTTATGCCGTAATCCTGTCCGGTAAAAGAGCAAAACACACACTTTAAGGTTCGAAGAAAAGAAGGGTTAAAAATTCCTTACTTCTCAACTAGATGACTGGGTTGAAGCTATAAACAGGAAAGAAAACAATATTTCAGGTTATCACAGGCCGCAAGGAGGAATCTTTACCTTTCCCTGCCAGTTTCCAAGTCCGAAAACAGTTGCTCCATTGCCGAAGTCATCATAAAAGAAATCTAGTTTATCAGTCACGAAAGGGTCTGCCAGGAAAACTTTATGAATAGTTTTCAAAACTCACTAAAAACTTAGTTATCAATTATGATATAAAATCTTTTTTTAACAAAAAGGCCTTAAATTTAGTTAAACTGAATTGTTATCATGATTTTTAGCTCTCATTTTGAAGTTACAGGTGTAATCTTGTTTCGGAATACACTACGTTGAAAGCGGAGCAACCATCGAAGCGCGAGCTAATGCAAAGTAAAAAGCGCACGTGATTCGTGGTACTATGGATACCGATGATGTTTGACTTTTGCAAAACAGGATTTAAACAAATTTGCGAAGTGCTAATTTTCAAAACAACGATTACTTATATGATAACTTTTTCCAGTAATAGGCACATAAAATTATACACATTATATCGGATTGGATAAAAAATGAAATAGTTTGATTATAATTAAAGAACAATGCTGTACTATGTCCAGTGAACAAATTTCGAAAAGGACAAATCGTTATCTTTTTTTATACCTATATCTTACCTTCATGCACCGCTTTAAGCGTAATCGAACGCACAAGGCAACCCGCTATCGCAGTAAGCACAAATACAATCTTCATGATTACCACGAAACTTTCTTCTTTTCACGCAAAAAGCACGTCTGTTTGTTCCGAAGAGAAGATTCAAGTGATTGTATGACCTCAGAATCACTGTTTTACAAAGTTAGCTTCGCGCCGTTTATGCGCGCGCGAGTTACATGTTCCACGTATTGTTTTATTTCACTTTATAAGCATTTAGTTATATATCTTTCGATACAAAAGCTCTTGTTTTAGGTTTCTCAGTTTTTACATGGCGCATGCATGCGTTTCATGTAAATGATACAAACTTTAAAAGTCTGACTACTCCTGTCCCACAAGGCTCTTGGCGTCAAGCTCAACATAGTACTCTCGGCTAAATGCTGTGGCATCTCTGGTTCTCCTTCATCACGAATAAATCTTTCGCCTTTTACTAAAGATTTCCGTGGAGGAGAACAATTGAAATGAGTCTGTAGACTAATTTTTTCAATACCCTGCCTTAAGGCGGGGCTACGAGCAACGCACTAGAATCTTGCTATCACCGCCTTACTTTACTGTTTGTAAGCAACGGCGAAATGGACTATAACATGTTATAACAGAAGGGTGTCTAAGCCACAGCAACGAGAACGGCAAAAAAACGAACATGTCGACAACTTTCTTTCATGCTCGATCTGGAATGCACCGACACATCTGAACAGGCTCTCAAGAACTCCTAAGTCGTGTTTCCTCGGTAAACAAATTACAATCTTTCTCACGTTTTGTCTTTTTTTACTCTCTACAGTCGAATCCCGACAATTCCAACTTAACCTTCAAGGGAAATATAAAAAGTTCGAGTTGTCGAGGGTAAAATTATATAGAAAACTGATCTGAAGGGAAATGAAAATTGCCTCGAGTTAGCGGGAGGATCGAGTTATATAGAGGGTTCGAGTTACCGGGAGTCGACTGTATATTAAAAGCGGAGCGTCGGTAAAATACTCTTGAAAACAACCGTGTTTCATGTTTGATCGTGTCTTCTCTTTTGGGGACACTTTTCCAAGACAGACTTCCCTCGGTAGTTTGGGCAGAAACTCCTACATTTCAGTATATTGCAAGGGGCCGGAAAACTGCGACTAGCGAGCCATGTGACTCGTGCCTTCCATGGGAAAAGTAAAGTTTTTTTAAGAGAGTAACGGCTTGGACCCTCGTCGAGTAACCATGGTAACCCTCCCCCGCCATAGTGCCGACACTGTCCAAGAGAGAATGTTTACTGCTGTTGGCCAGTTTACCCCAAGAGAGCTTTATCCTCTGCTGTTTACCCAGAGTACCGCAAGGTTTTGCGAAACAGATACCTCAAATATACCTCAAACTGCCACCTTGTTTTGCGAAACAGATACCTCAAACTGCCACCTTTTGGCGGGTAATCAAAAGTACCAAGAAGGTAGTTACTTAAGCCAGGCTAACCTGCAACTTTGACTTATTCTTCGTGTTTGTTTTTATACACTCAGCCTTTGCTGTATTGCTCGGAAAGACTTGGAAGCATCATGGCCGGACGTGCAGGAATTGTCTCCTGCTTTTACGCTTTGATACTGTTCTTATCACTTACTCAGTTCGCTAAAAGTCAACCTACTCTTCAAGAGAATAGAAAATTCCTTATCTTGAAGGATTTTTCGTGGTCAAGGCGTTTTCTCATACCAATATACGCTGACTTTTGCAATCTATGGAAGACGAAAAAATCGATCCGCCATCTTGGTTCGGTGTTGCATGTGAGGGGTTTTTACGCGACCAGGATAAACTATTATGCGAACTCGCACTCAACTTTCCATCAAATGCGACTCTACATAAGTGGAGACGTCGATGTAAACCCTGGTCCAGATGTTTATACAAGGATATCATGAAATCTCATGTTCACGCTCGACGAGTAAAGATAAGAAGAGGAAGCCTTCCTTGGATGAACTCATCCATACGTAAAGAGCTAAATAAACGCTATAAACTGCTTCTTAAAGCACAACAAACACCGTAGGGCTCACAAGCCTGGACAGATTATAAGAAGGCAAGAAATCACTGCACTAATCTCCTTAGATCAGCAGAGTCAAATTACTGGCTATCAAAATTTGACGAGACGACCTCTGCAAAAGATTTTTGGAAGACCGTAAGATCTTTTGAGGGAAAGCTAACAACTACAAACATCGGTCCAATTAAAGATAATTCTGGAGTTATTCACTCAGACGACACATCAAAGGCCAATGCTTTAAATTTCTTTTTTGTCAATGTTGGAAAATTTCTTTCGAAATCAATACAAGACTCTTTAATAAACTCTCCTTGTCAGTCTGCAAGAAATAACAGTGAAATCCCTGTTCTTTCTCTCTCTAACATAGCCCTTAACAAGGATCTTCTGAAATCTTCTCTGAAGTGTTTGAAACCTGGCAAGGCAAGTGGTCCTGATGATATTTCAAGCAGGGGACTGCGCCTTATTGGAGATGTATTTTTGGACTGCTTTATGCCACTGGCTCAAAGAAGTATTTTGGAATGCAAATTCCCAAGCCAGTGGAAGCAGGCACAGGTGAAATGTCTTCACAAGAAAGGGAGCACTCTCGACTGCGGAAATTACAGGCCGATCTCCCTTCTCAGCATTCCGGGCAAGCTATTAGAGAATGTTGTAAGCCAACAACTTGACAACTTCTTATATGGCAACAATCAAATCTCTTTGAATCAATGGGGCTTCAGAAAAGGAGGCTCACCTGAACTTCTTTTACTCTCACTAACAGAACGATGGCGTTTGGCCCTGGATGAAAGCAAGGTTATTGCCGTAGT